GTAATGGATCTAAAATTTACAAGCAAGTAATGCACAACTCAATACGATAATCGACCATTGCATTAAAGATCTTACAAAAAGGCCATTGTAAATAGCTACATCATATTTAAAATACATATGAATAGGTACAAGTTCCACACCAAAGGTCATGATTTAGATAGAGCAACAATGTGTAGTGGAGTGTGCGTAAAAGGAGTTAGTTACGGCGTAGAGAAAAATGACTACTATGGTAGGTTGATTGATATACTAGAGCTTAAGTATCCCGCATTACCAATCAAGAAAATTATATTTTTCATATATGATTGGTATGATACTACCCACGGCATTGATACAAGAGTTCACGAGTGGAACGAACTAGTAGAAGTAAATAGTTATAGGATGTCGAACATATCTAATCCGTTTATCCTACCCTTTATCCTAACAACACAAGAGTATTAAGTGTATTATGCAACATATCCTACACTCGAAGCACATCGGACATGATTGGTTAGTCGTATATAATGTAAAACCCTAACCGGTGGTGGATATGCCAAAATCATCTATTATAGTCCAAACAATTATGGAACAATTTTAGTAAAACAAAATGAAAACCTAACACAATGTTATCAAAGTTGATGATGATGAAGGTTAGTTGTTGATTGATCCAACTAGATCATTAATATATTTAGAAGGCGGTGAAATTAATGAAGAGAATGAAGTTGAATTTAAAATAGATGTTAAGAAAGACTAAAATGAAGACTCGTAATAATAATGATTGGGATAGTAATTAGTATTAAGGTTTGATTATCCTCCACAGTTTACTTAAAATTATTAAGGTAATATATAAATATATATGTGTTTATGTGTGTGTACATGTTTTAATTTAATTATGAAATTATTTATTTATCGTAAAATAAATATATTTCAACTTGTTTATGTTAATATCAATATTTTAACTAATTAATGTGATAATGTATAGGTTATACCTCGTGCTGTGAGGACGTTTCCTCATATAGTGGCCCATGTCATATGGTGAGGGTTAAGGTTCAAACACTAACAATGGTATTATCCATGGATATGGGTGTAGTCTCGCTTCTATTCTAGGTCAAATTGCCCCCTTCATCGACATGTCTATATACCAAGCTCCCGCTGCCATCATGTCAAACCCATCACCGTTTGGCATGTCTCGGCTTAAGTCATATTATTATGGACCTCTATGTCCCTATCCATCCGAACCTTCATCATCATCAAGGCCCTTGCCTTAACGGGATTACCATTATGTTCTTCAATATGGGTCATCATTAAACATCCCTTCTAGTTTGGCTTCTACACTTGTTAGATCTATATTTGATCCTCGGATTATGATTACTATCATTAATGGAAAGGAGTACATATTATGTATATTTTTAAAAATATTTTTTTGTATGCTATTACATTTATGGGTTTATTTAACTCGTTAATTCATGTCTTGTTTGACAACTTATATCCATTCGATACTTGTGCTCGTCGTATCTTGAAGACATTCTATAAGCGTGTTAATATATCCAAATCGACGTGGAAGTCAATTAGTGAGGAAACTAAAGAGTTATATTAAGGAGAGTTTAAGGTAGTCTTTTGCTTAATTTATTACGTGACTCGTACATTTCAATCAAGAAACATTAATGTTAATTTAAATGTACTAATAAATATTTTTAACATTCTTATAGAAGTCTTTTAAATGGGAGTGCGATATTGAGATAAGCATAAAGAAAACATGACGTAGTCCGACCCAAAAACGATATTTCGACTTCCTTTATCAAGTAAAGAAATACCCCAAACTAACATATATGTCATAGGAGATATAAGATGCATGGCATAAGAAATGGACAAAACTCGAGTCTTATGCCCGATCCGAGTAGGTGGCTCGGAATCATAAGAGTGAGACCGATGGCATCAAAGCCGACCTATCTAGATATACAAGGGGTTCGATCACACACGGGGAACACACAATATGCATGATAAATCTTATTATTATCATTATTATTTTTTATTTATAATTATTGCAACATCAATAAATATTTAAGTATATTTGTTTCGAGTGTAATGAGTCGGGTCATGAATCCAATACCCACGAGGTTTTCTTGAGGAATCACAAGAAGAAGGTTGATGATAAGTACATATTTATCGATCATCGAGCAAGAATTCTCAAAGTAAATAATTTAATAAGATTATTTTAAACGTATGTCACATTTATATAAATTATTGAGATAAATAGTTAATATTAAAATTTATGCAAATATGTAGGAGATCGTTGAAAAAAATATTTAAGGAGGAGGTTGCTAGCTAAGAGACTCAAGGTACTTCATTGCCCGACATCGACATAAACGAGATTTTTAATAAGGTTATTGGAGGAGGAGATGGTAAGAGGAAGAGAATGTACGGACTCGAGTCACGGGCCTCTCACCGTTACTCTAATATCAATACATCCTTTAGTTCGGCCACATCATGATTCCATGTCGATCTTGAGGTGCAACGAAAGAAAATGAAGGCTCATTTTTCTAGACAAATAGAAAAGATCAAGAAATTAAAGGATATTGTTACATTACTCTTAGCTACTTCAAATTAGCAGTAAAAGTATACTCGGGAGCAACATGAGATGATACGACGGATGCGATAGATGTTGCTAAATATGCGAAGAGGCAGTTCATCCATCGATCCTCCGACCGACGATTCCATCGATCCTTCGATCGACGATCCCACCGATCTCTCCTAGCATTTATGTTTTCTTTTTCGTAAATAACGATAAAATTTAAAATAATTTCATGTTTGAATATATATTTTATTTTATTTATTATACATGTTTTGTAATATTTATAAATCTGTTTCATAGCGTTTTTTAATTGTTAAATTGGAATGGATTTTATTTTTTCTTATTATCGATTAAATAAATAATTGAATTTGTTTTTCAAGCAAAAATTTGGAATAGATTTAGCGACAATTTTCATTAAATAGTCATTAAAAATGCCACTAATTAGAGATGGATTTAGCGATGGATTTTTAGCGATAATTTAACAAAATTGTCGCTAAATCAACTACCTATTCACGATGGAATTGGGTGTCTTAGTGATGGATTAACCGTTGCTAATTTAGCAACGGTATAAAAAATCGTCATTAATTTTAGCGATAAGGTTTTTTCAAACGGTTTTATACCATCGCTAAACTATCGTCAAAAAAATTTAGTGATGGTTGTTTGGGAATTAGCGATGGTTAAAACCATTGCTAAATTTCCTTTTTTTTTTTTTTTTTCATAATGTTCCTTTGATTTATAGTGACTTGAATCCATATGTGTGCATAAGGTGCAATCACTTTTTGTATTGACAACCTACGTTTAAGAATGCAATTATAGACAATCCATATTGGAGAATTTCATAAGGTTTTCTTTATCATTCAAATAATTAAAAATATCATTAGTTGCCTAGAAGATTATTAAACGCTTTTGATAGTGTCGATTATATTTTGAAATAACAAGTTATATTTTCTCCGGACAAAATATGAAAATAATGATATATTTTCACTTTATTTAGTATAATATAAAGTGCTACTCTCTCTCTCTCTCTTATATATATATAATTAAAAAGATCAATAGTTGCCTAAAAGATTATCATACATATTAATATTGTCCATTATTTTTTCAAATGACAAATTATAATTTCTTTACACATAATAAGGAAGTAATGATGTATTTTTACTTTATTTAGTATAATAAAATTGCTATTTTCTTTATGTATATATAGTTTGCTTTATTATAATTGTTGCTCAAAGTCATCGTATGTAAACTACTATTTAACAAGTTTTATTATTTTATGAAATTTATTTTGAAAAATAATTATGCACATCTTTATAACATATTTAAATAAATATGAAAAACATACTAGACATATATATTTTTTGTTATTAGCATATTCATAAAAGTATTATTATATCTCTAATTTTTTTAAAAAGTTATTCTTATTTGTGTCATGTTTATCTATGTATCTAATAGGTCATATCTATATGCTTGCTTATTTGCTATGATTAATTACATAAAGCAAGAATTTTATAATTTGTGAGATGAAAATTATAAGTAAATGATCAAATCACAGTATCTCAAATGTGACATCTAATCTATACTCAAGCTTTTCAACAATTTAGTAAATGTTAAGATTTTTATAATTAATCTTTCCATTTATTATTATTTTTGTTTTCCATTTGCAACAATTTTCTTTTCATATGTCATAATTATAAAGTATTCTCTTTTGTTTAAAAAACTAATCATTTAGTAATTCATCATCAAATTTTTGCCACATATTTCAAATTAACACCTAATATCTAAAATAATACTTAACAAACATATCTATCTATCATATATGTTTTGGTGTTTGATGAGAGAGAAATGAAATAGAGATTAATAAAATGAAAAGTGAAAATTTGGTAGAGAAGATTGGAGGAGGTAGATGAGAAGTTGTTTTGGTGCTCGAGAGGAGAGAGAGAAAAAATACGTGTTTGAATGAAAGAAATAATGCATAAAATAAAAGGAATTTGAGAATAACAAAATATATATTTATTACATTTAACTTTGAGGGGACTAAAAATAGAGATTTATTTTTAAAAATACAATATGTACGCAGGGAAGGATCAGATTAAGAAAACTGAAAGACTACAGGTGCCAAATCCACCTTTAACTCCTAAGACCCCACATCCACAGACTGCATCGACTCTCCACTAGAACGCTTCCTCTCTGTCTCAGGCACACAGACACAAGCCGTTGCCCACCACTCTCAAGCATCGCCCACCGCGGCTTCTTTTTAAAACTCCAAGGTACTACTACTTTTTTCTGACGTTTTTGCATCTCTGCTCCATTTGTTATTTAATCGCAAGGGGCTTATGATTTTTTTTTATGAAAAAGAATATGGGTTTATCGAATTTTCACTAACTTCGTTTGCGATTTTCAAATCAATCAATAATATACGTTAACGTTATGATGGTTCATTTTCCTTGCAGAAATGAGAATAATAGCTCAGATTTCATCCCGTTGCATTAGGAATGGCTTCTTGACTGGCGGCCCATTTCAGGCTCCTTATCTTATCAAACCTCTCTCTACAAGGGGTCGTTCCGGTACTGAATCTATCTTTCAATTTTTCTTTTAGATATAACCTTTTTAATTGAACTTCTTTTAAATTTACCAGTGCCGAATCTTTGTTTTTAGGCCTAATATTCCTGTAAATAATTTAGGGTTCTGGCATAAATAGACTGAAAGACATGCCCGATCTTTTTTCTTTTTAGCGTGTGAAATGCTGTTTTGGATGATTGGGGATTAAAAAAATAAAATTGAACTTTATGATTCTGAAGTAGCTTAAGTTAAAAGTATGTAGTAATTATTGAGTGATTGTATGATGCTTGAAAATTGGTTTTTTTTTTTTTTTTTTTTGTTCAGAGTTCTTGAGTACAGTCTTCATATTGTTGTCTTTTTTTCTTTTCCTTTCCATCTGGGCCAAATATGGTGGAACCATGCGTGAACTTCAATCTAGCATTTTTGTCCTTTTGGCATTTGAATAGGCAACTTGTTCAAAAAAGGTCATTCAATTGAGATCGAGCCAGTTGAAAACTTTGAGCAACGGATATTTGGTGGCAGTAATGGGGGTAATTCACAATCTGAATCCTTTTTCCAAAAGCTTGATAGACTTTCAAAGGCTCGTGATGGACCTGATTCAAGACCGAATGAACGAAATAGTTCTGAAATGGGGGATGGTTTAGATGAGAGTCTTAACACACTAGAAGATGGAATGGATGAAAAGTTACAGAAAGCAGCTGAATTTTTTGAGGAGGATGATGAAACGTCTGACGAAGATTATGATTATAGACCTGATGCACGCTTTTCAGAGGGAGATACTTATGATTTGCAGGTATGCAGTTGCATGGCCGTTGAATCTATGCTTAGAATTTTGTAATTTGATCTGGTATATTTGCTGCGTACTTATTAGTTTGGTTCATAAAGTTTGCTATTTTGGAAGGGATTCCTGGGGCACATCTTGCTCTGGTTTCTTAAGTGCAATTGATATGTTGGTTTCTTGTTTTCTATTTTCCTTGGAAAAAAAGAAGTCCTTGTTTGATGTTCACCCAATTCTTTTTCTAATTTTATTAAGCTCTGTGAATCATTTTTAGCAACGGCTTTCTATTACTGATCTGATGTGCAAATTTTCTGTTATTGTTAAGGGGAACAGTTTCTGTAAGATATTGTAGTGTGATCTTAAATATACAGATAAAAAATCACAGTTTGATGTGAAATGACAAGTTGTTCTTAGAACTTTACAGGGGGGACACAGTGATCAATCAGTTTGAAGTCATGACATGGATCTTTAATGGGAAAGAAATAATGTGCCCTGTTGCAGTATATTTTCTGCATTTGACTGACAATTGTTTCAATTGGCATCTTCTTTCAGAACTTAACAATAACTATTGCTGGTGCTACGACTTTGAATTAGTCTTCATGCTTGTGTTGTCTTAAACCTTATGGGCCATATGCAGGATCTGGATCTTACAAAGCCATTTGTACGTAGACCTGTAAAACGAGCTGAATTTCACGTAACTACAGAGGAAGCTCTGAGTAAAGCTGATTTTCGGGTGAGCTTATCACAATGCCTGTCATTTATGCTGCCATGATATAATATTAAGTATAATGGAATTGCAGATGCTACTAATAGGTGCTATAATTGCCATTGTGGAATATGAGTCAAGTCACTTGAAGTCCTAAATTAGCACTAGTGTCCTGCAAAGTTTTTGTTTAATCACTGCCCAAGTGGCTGCTGGCCTGCCAGTTATTGTGGTTGCTGGTAACATTTTACTTTACTCCCTTGGGTACTTGAAACCATGTACTGTTTGGCATTGTTCTTAGTTGCTTGCAAAATTTGTGGTTTTTGCCCTTTGATATTTTCCTGCTGGGACTGGTGGTTGCAGTTTTCTCCTGCTTCTCTTCCAAACTAAATCAAATTGTAATTGATTTATTCTTGATTCTACTTCATTTGTTGGAGCCTAATTGCTAAATATTAATTCAAGTCATGACTATTCCTTGCAATCTCTATATTTTTGTTGTTGATTATTACTTGTACTTATTTGTTGGAACATAACTGCTAAATATTAACTCAAGTCATGTCTATCCCTTGCAATCTCTACATTTTTATTGTTTATTATTACTTCAACTTCATTTGTTAGAACATAATTGCTAAATATTAATTCAAGTCATGATTATCTGTTGCAATCTCTACATTTTTGGGCACATACCTAAATTCGTTGTGTTTTTCTCCGAGCAGAATGTTAGATTCCTTGCAAACTTCATAACAGAGGCTGGAATAATTATTAAGAGGAGCAAGGTAACATTGAGTGTCAATTCAAGTAATTGCTGTTCACTGAATCTATGTTAAAAATGTGGTTTCCTGCCTTTCTTCATCATCTTTCTTTTGTAGACTGGCATAAGCGCCAAAGCCCAGAGAAAGGTTGCAAGGGAGATCAAAACAGCTCGAGCTTTTGGTCTGATGCCTTTCACAACAATGGGGACAAAATCATTTGTTTTCGGCAGAAGTATGGAGAATCTAAATGATGATTTTCAATATCAGAGTTTTGATCGGTCAGTTGATGATGGAAAAGATTAGTACAAAGTTTAGAAGGTTGTGCCATCTCTTCTGCCATGTCCTTCACTCCCTTCTTTTTTGCCCCTAGTTAAGCGCAATATAACTCCACTAATTTCAGGTTTTGATAAATTTTTTGGGGGAAGTTTTGGAAAGTTGCTCCACAATTTGAATGTTGTTGTGTGCTGGATATAAAATAATATATAGTGGCCTGCTCTCCCACATACGTTTAGATTTCTTTTGCTCTATGATATTCAGGTCTCTGTAACGTGTTTGCTATTTAAGTTGGCAACAATGATGATGAAGAATAATCAACAACAGGATCAACTGCAATTTTTTAAACATTGATGAAAATAAAACTACCCAGTGTAATCGAAAATCCTACTTTAACGCTTGTGTGCCTCAGTTGTGTTTAATGTACTTCGTAAATAGTGGTGGACGCATGTTGCTGGATGACGTTGATGAATTTGCATAACGTTTAGAATGAAGGTTTTGTTACTATGAGTAAATTATAAATGAGTCTTTTTAGTTTTGACAAATGAATTAAATAGTTCTTTCTTTTAAAATTAATTATTTGATATAAAGAAAATTTAATTATTTGATGTGTTGATCGGTGTTGATTGCATTTTAATTTGATATTACTTATTTTACAAAATATCATTTATTTTATTTCAAAAAAATATCATTTTTTTCATCAATCTTTCTATAATTTTTTTTCCTTTTATCTATTTGTTAAAACAAAAAATTAAAATAAACTGAAAAACAACTAAAAAGATGAAGTTATAAAAAAATTTAAAAACGTAGGAACTAAATAATCAATTTTTAAACTAAAAAAAATCAATTAATTCATTTCCCAAAACTAAAGAGAATAATTTGTCATTTGCTTTTGTTATCATAAGAATTACAAATTCACAAATCACAAATTCATATTGCTTCAAGTGATGACAAGTATTTGAGCATTAAAAAAAAAAAAAAAAAGCAGTGATTCTAAGAAATGAGAATTACAACTCGAAAATCTAGAAGAAAGCCTTTTATTTTGGTAGAGCGGGGAACGGTAATGGATGATTTTTGTATGTTTTGCTTTGCTGATTGGGAGACAGTTTTCCGCTTGCATGATTTTCATGATACATGATTGCATCGATCCCAAGTAAATTGCAAATCCATTGATGGATACGATCCGTCATCAATACAATCAGTCAAATCTGCATCTGTAAAAGCACGTAGCTGTCTGTGTACTTTAAATAAATGCCACGATCCAGAGGAGAATGAAAATAACACAATATATAATTCATTCTTTTCACTACAAACTAGCGAGCTTCTATTGGTGATGAATGCATGAACTGACAGACCTGAGAAGCATATATTCGATCTGATCATGGTCAAGTATGAAACCACCAACTAGTTGACGATATTTAGTGACATCCTCACAAAAGTTAGCCATTGATTGTCGAAAGTTCCGATGAAGTGGAAAGAGCGACAATTGGCCTGCACGGACTCGTACCTGCTTTAGCCAGTAATTCATGAATATACTGAAGCTGAGATAGCAAAAAGCAGTGAGTTGCTGGACCTCAATCTCCAAGAAATGATGAAGTGAGCCAAGATCACGAACATGGAACTCATGAGCCAAAGAAATCAATGATATGCTGATCAAGAACAAAGTCACTCCCTGTTACTAAAATATCATCAAAGGTATAAAATCACACCACGGGCATAGTAAATACATAGGAAAGTATCGGTTTTAGAACCCGAAAAACTATGATTTGAGTAAGAAAGAGCTCAGCCGATGATATCATGCCCTTGCTGCCTATTTCAAACCATAGAGAGAGCAGTGTACCTATCAACATCCAACAATATTCATTTTAGAGCAAAACGGAACAAAAGACCAGGTACTGTTTCGTTGTAAAGCCTCTTTCTCATCAACCAACACCATTACACTCGCGGTTCCAGCAAAGGAAGGACTGATTCCTATGGGGCAGTAGGCGAAGCAGCAGTAGCCGAGACTAGAAGAGCCTTAGGCTTTGGCCTGGATATATGATGAAATACCATATTGTGTTGTTGTCGGGCTGGGATCACTGCCGAAGAAAGAGGCGGAGGTATCCTTGTGGCTGGCAAGTCATAAGCAACAAGATTTACCACCAAATTCAATCTTGATGGAAAAGGTGGCTGCTACCCCAAACAAGTAGCTAGAGAGGACAACAGGGACTATAAAGAGGACCCAAGCTAGGGTTGTAAGCTACCATTCATTCTGATTGGAAACCAAAGATGGCGAGGGCAAGACCTGCAAGTGGTAATCTAGCTACTAGAAGAGAGAGGATGCATGGGTACAGTGAGCAAGTGGAGGTTCTTTAGGCTGAAATTAATAAAGTAGGTGATATAAGCACAAGTGAGGTGATTATTGTGTGAGTAGGCTAGGCAAAAGCTGATTGAGAGGTATGTTCAACAAATGCAAATGAAAAATTATTTTCATGAAAGTGTGCATGACATGCCATATAAATTCTTTTAGTTTTAGTGTCAAAACATTTATAACCAAGGTGTGAAGAGCTACAGCTAAGAAAAACATAAGCAGGCGATCGAAAATCAATTTTATGTCTATTATAGGAATTGAAAAATAGAAAACAAAAATATCTAAAAACTTTTAAAAAGGAATATTCCGGTTTAGCACCAAATAGATTTTCAAAAGGAGACTTGTCAATAGGAACGATTGTAGGCATGCGATTGATGAGATATCTTTTAGAGGAACAATAATAGATTGACCAAGCAAGGTTAATCCGGTTTCAACAATGAGTTCATTACGTTGATTAACAAATTCATTTTGTTCATGGATGTGAAGAAAAATTAACCTATGATAAATTTTTTATTTCTTTAAAATACATATTTACTTTTCTTTACCTCATCACCTTAGTTTGTTCAGAAAATTTTAATTTTAAAAGAAACTTGACTTTCAACTAGCTTTTGAAACTGGAGAAAAACTTTAAAAACATATGATTTATATAATAAGAGATCAAACCAAATAAATTTGGTATAATCATATACAAAATTTACAAAATAACGAAACGATAAAAAAACCATCAAGCTCGTGCCCTATGCATCGCTAAAAACCGACTCCGGAGGAGTGTTAGAAATTAAACTTTATTTGGCTCAAGTTGAAAGCCTAAGTCCATAGCTAAAAAACCAAGTTTAGAAAAATCTTCCACTACAAGAAAATTATAAAATAAGGACAAAATTATTTGCGATAAATTTTTTCATAAGTTAAAACAATCATCGCTATTTTTTTAGCGACAAAAATTACTATCCGTCGTTGATCCGCAATAACATATTCGTCGCTAATGTAAAGTATTTCCGTCATTAAATTGAAATAAACAATCATTTTTAGGTCTTGAATTTTTCATAAAATCGTCGTTATTCCCTCATATTTATGTCGCTAATTGTACTTGTTAATTTTCTTCATAAATCCATCGCCATATCTCGTCGTTATTTAGCGAATGTTTCTATATCCATTCATAAAGAGATGTAATTTTTGTCGCTAATTCAATCACCGATCCATCGCTAAATAAAGATTTTTTTTAATAAATTAATGGTCGTTTAATGTTAATGATAATAACAAATAACTAAAAATAACACCTTATTATAACACGAAATATCATTTAATAAAATTAAAATAATATAAATTGAAATCAAATAATTATATAAATGTGTTCGAGTGTATAAAAACATTAAAAACCTAAGAAAAAAAAAGCTAGCCCTCATCATCCGAATCTCATGCTTCATCTTCCGACTATTGGGTATAGAGAGAACATCTAACTCTTGGGTTGTGGGGGGAGGGGAGGGGTCAACATAAGGGACGCGAGTCTACTAGAGCTCATGTAACGTCACCTGTATCATCTCTATCTAACTCTATAGATTGTGGAATTTATCCTTCTACTCCTTGAATTGTCAAGTATAGTCAACCTCGATCATCCGGATCCTATCTTTGTACTCGTAAAGTAACATCCCGAACATTACCACTAAGGTACTACGATATGGCGAGAGGATGAATTAGTGCTAGAATGGAAGTAATATTGGGATGCTTGTGTTTCGAGGCCGTACACACTTCTTCTTTTTCTCCTCCTACATTATTGAAATATATCTTAGTCATGTTGACAAATGAAGACGATAAATCACTCTCCTATTACTTTTTAGCAATCGCTTCTTATAATGATTGCATGCACTCCTATGTAATTGAAATAATTATAATATTAAATCATAAATTTATTTTTTAGATTATATTGATAGATGTATATTTATAAAAATAAAAAAATTACCATTATTATCTAGTGTTGCTTGTCGACAAATGATTCATCTCTCTACTTGTTATTGTTCAAGAACAACTCGTAAGGATTCGAGTTACGACCTAATTTATTATTGTGAAAAAAATAGATAAAATAATATAGGATGTAATAAAAAAATATTAATTTATAACATAATGGATAATATGATTTATCAATATTTGACACGCTCAATCAAAGAGATGGATCCTCTCGTATGTCTAAATGAGCCAATACCGACACCACCCCTCTTCGACATGTAGTTCCAAGACAACTTGTTGAGATCGGGCGTGAAACTCAAGTGTGGCTCAATCTCAACATTATGCATTCCACACATGTTCTATAATATGTGTGGGTTTGTTTCTATTTTACTTAAGCTTGTTCAACATGTTAGAGTACAACCTTCATGCTAGACTCTCTTATGCATCCTTAATCAACGTGTCCATGATTGCATCCCATAAAAAATACTTTTACATGAAGAAAAAATTAATATTAATACATTTCATGTTAAATTAATACATTACATGTAATATAAATAAATAAATAATATTTTATTTTAACCTTATTAAAGTATATAAGTTTTTTGTTTCCATGAAGACGAGACTTCCACGTGGAGCTAGCGAGGGTCCAATCGCTCCTTGAAAATTGCGGTGATCCGACTTGAGCACTTACTTGATGGGACCAACCTATTGAACAAAATAAATAATGAATTAATTATTCAAATAATATATAAAAATACAAAGCTAGTTACCATATATAAAGTATATTACTTATCGATTATTAACGGATCGAATGATCCGTTCAATATCATATCCAAAAGAGCTTCCTAAAGTAGAAGAAACCATTAAAGGGACCTTTGTAGTGGGAGCACTTATTGGTAGTGGCACTAATAGTAGGGATGTAGATGTACTAGCCACGTACAATGCCACTATTAAATCCACGACCACGGACACCACCACTATTAGTGTCATAACCACGAACACCGCCACTATCGAGCCACGACCGCTATCGCTACAACTTTCAGCGAGATCCGTTTGAATGAGAGGTCGGGATGGAATGGCCCAATCCACGAGTCATATCTCTAGAATAACAACTAAAATAATTTAACAAATAGAACAAATAAAAAACAATTTGACTAAAAATATACTATAAATTGTTTCCATAAAAAACAAATAAAAATTCGATATAATCTCCTATGTAAATTAGATATTTCCTAATTATCGAAGACGTCACTCGCACAAAATACAACACGTCAAAAATACACAACAAACATCTAAAAATGCATAACGAGATAAATGATATAGTTTAATAAATACAATAAATAAAATAAATATTTAATTACAACTCGTCATAATCCTCATCTAAGTTTTCCTCTTCCTCGATCTATTTTGATTCATATTCACTCTCATATTCTTTATTAGTTTCAACTACTTTTATATCTATAAATAATCCATTTGAATCGATCAATGACTACTCCTCACCATCTTTTTAGATTAAATTTTGTTGGATTTTTGAATCATCCTCTTGAAATGGTTCCGTATTTTATTAAACTCCAATAAATGATTTGGGTAAATCAATCATAATCCTAGCTTTTATTTTATAAACAACTTATCAATTTCGACTATCACACTTTAAGTTAGGATATGCGACATAATACGCTTGAGTCGCTAAAACAAAGTGTTCGTATATGTTGAAATTCCTTCCATAATTTACCTCCGTTAGTTTATACTTGCAAATGAACTCTTGTTTCATTCGATGTAGGATCAAACTAATCACTTTTGAATCACTTATCGTTCTTTTGATTGGTAGCACATGATACTTCGATTGTAGAATTTTGATCAATATCTCGTAATAGCCACTCTCATCTATATTGTAATTAGATCCTGTACTGCATATTCTACGACTTATACTTGCTTTGTCTAAACCATATCCTTGTGTGTTAAACCTATACCCATTCATAATGCACATTGGATACGATTTTATAATTTATAAAGGACTTGTTTTCAAGATCTTTTATGAGATAGTCTATCATATAGTTGGGTTGTGCATATTTTGTACGTAAAATCACATCCATGACTAAAAGTTTAGTTAATAGTTAATGAATCTTGTCTACTAACAAAACCTAATCTAAAATAAG